ATGGAACAGCTAAAAGAAAGTAAAAAAGAAAGCACACTGCATCTTATTTAGTTATCCAAGGCTCTTATTATGGCTTCTCCACAAATTCCAAAGCCAGGCTTCAAGTACTCAATTAATAATAGAAGTTCCAAAGAACACCTGTTAAAACATTCTCCAGTGTTCTTCCCTCTATCTTATCAAGTTCCAGTGTCCTTGAGAAAGGATTTCTTCACAGCCCTCTCAACTTCCAATAAAGTATTTTCAAGCCTCTAGTTGGCAGTGTTACAAGGTTTCTTTAATCCACTCCCCCTTCTTTCCCAAAAAAGCCTAATAAAAAAAAGGAAATATACATATATATATATATATATATATATATTTAAGGAAAAAAAATTACTAAAGGGAGCCTCTGTTCTAAAAAAAAACTATTAACAGTCAAAAGGGGGAAAAAAAAGAAAGAAAAATTAGGTGAATATAAGAGAAAAAACCAGTCTAGTTACAGTTACTAGATCACAATGGAAGTTCAATGAAAACAAAAGTAAAAGTAAAAAGCCAAGCCTCCGTTTGACATTCTCTTTAAAAAAAAAAAAAAAAATCAGCTTCATCAGTTTTTGTCCAAAGTCTTACAGGATTCTTCTCATTTTAGAGTGTCCTTAAGTCCCCCCCAAAAAAAGATTCTCACCAGCCGATGCACTTTCTCTTTCTGCCTCTTCCTTCCAGAGCTGTCACAGCTTCAGCAGCTTAAAGGCTGCCTCTCCGCCGATGGTAAAAGGGCTTCTTCTGGATCAACCAGGGACTTTGCGATGTCCCTGGGATCAGCAGAACGCACCCCTTACTATCACCATCTCTACGGGACGGTTTAGGTCCATTAGGACCGACCAGGGGCGAAGATATCAGCTGCAATCACAGAGCCCCGAGATTGCAGCTGTATCGCAGCGACGTGGCTCCGCCTTCTCCCTGTACGGTCTCTTCTTAAAAGCCTCCAATGTTGGAGCACCCACAACCTCTGGAGGCAAGCTGTTCCACTGATACAATTGTGTCACCGTTCCAACGTAACGGACCCAAGAAAATCAGAACTCTTGCAACTGGAATCTTCCTCAAAGGACTTCTTTTTATTGGGTAAATCATATCACATCTAAAACCAACTCTTAAATATTTCCCTCCATTTCAGTATAATTTAAATAATAAAAGATTGCCTCCCCAAGTGTCACAGGTCACATTGTCCAAGGTTAATTGGTAGGCTCCGTCGGCACACCTCTCCTTCATCCAACACCTGTGGAGTTTAGATGACCTTGGTTCCCACGAGATAAGTGTGTTGTGTCTGGCAATGCCTTCCAGCCTTCCCTCTCCTCCCCCCCCGCCCCCTCATACTGCGTGTCAACTGAGAAACAACAAAATGACTTCAGCCAGGTTCACTTTAAAGTTGACTAATTGTTCTCACTGTTAGGAAATTTCTCCTTAACTTTATGTTGCTTCTCTCTTTGATTAGTTTCCATCAGTTGCTTCTCGTCCTGCCTTCAGGTACTTTGGGAAATAGGTTGATTCCCTCCCCCACCTTCTTTGTGGCTGGAACCCTGCTGTCATGTCCCCCCTGGTCCTTCTCTTCACTACACTAGCCATGCCCAGTTCCTGTAACCGTTCTTCATATGTTTTAGTCTCCAGTCCCCTAATCATCCTGGTTGCTGTTCCCTGTACTTTTTCTAGAGTCTCAACATCTTTTTGATAGTGTGGTGACCAAAACTGGATGCAATACTCTAAGTGTGGTCTTACGAAGGCTTTATAGAGTGGTATTAGTACCTCACATGATCTTGATTGTATCCCTCTGTTAATGCAACTTAGGATATCATTAGCTTTTTTGGCTGCTGCTTCACACTGCTGGCTCATATTTAGCTGGCTGTCCACTAAGACTCCAAGATCCCCCTCACAGTTACTGCTATTGAGCCTGGTTTCACCCAGTCTATATGGGTACTTCTGGTTTTTCGTGCCTAAGTGTAGGACTTTACGTTTCTCTACGTTGAATTTCATTTTGTTAGATATGGCTCAGTGTTCTAGCCTGTCAAGATCCATCTGGATCTTGAGCCTATCTTCTTGGGTGTTAGCTATTCCTGCCAGCTTAGTATCATCTGTACATTTGGTAAGTTTCCCTTCTATTCCCTCATCTAAGTCGTTAATGAAGATATTGAAGAGTACTGGGCCTAAGACAGAACCTTGTGGCACCCCACTGCTTACTTCCCTCAAAGTAGACTTAGACCCATTAAGGACTACTCATTGAGTACAGTCAGCCAGTTGCAAGTCCATCTGGTGGTGGTGCTCTCTATCCCACTTTTTTCTAGCTTACTAAGAAGTAGGTTGTGGTCTACTTTGTCGAATGCCTTGCTGAAATCTAAGTATATTATGTCCACGGTATTTTGCTGGTCTACTCATTTAGTCACTGTGTTGAAGAATGAAATAAGATTGGCTTGGCATGATCTGTTTTTAACAAAACCGTGCTGACTGCTAGTTACTACTTTACGTGTTTGTAGGTGTTGGCAGATCTGTTTTTTTATTATCTTTTCCAGTATCTTCCCAGGTATTGATGTTAGGCTGATCGGTCTGTAGTTTCCTGGGTTTGTTTTCCTTTTTTGAAGATGGGAACCACATCAGCTCTTTTCCAGTCCTCTAGTGCTCCAGGATTTTTGGAAGATACGGTGCAGTGGTTCTGAGATGACCTCTGCCAGCTCCTTTAAAACTCTGGGATGTAATCAGTCAGGCCCCAGCCTGCAATGTGGTCAGATCTGGCCCATGGTGCTATCCTGGAAAATTTAAGGGGTCGGCTCGGTCTACCCAGTGCGAAGAGGAAATATGCCAGCGGTTTGGGGAGTGGTGTCAAGCTGGCCACGCCCACCCAGTTGGCCACACCCACCCAGGTCACCACAGCCCTGATGCAGCTCTCAAATTGAGTTTGACACCCCTGCCCTAGACCATCTCAAACAAGTGACTATCCAATCTCTTTAAAACCTCCAGTGATGGAGCACTTACAACTTCTGGTGGTAGGTCGTTCCACTGGTTAATGGTTCTCACCGTTAGGAAATTTCTCTCCTTAGTTCTAGGTTGCTTCTCTCTTTGGTCACTTCCATTCATTGCTTCTTGTCTTGTCTTCAGGTGCTTTGGAAAATAGGCTGACCCCCCTTCTTTGTATTGTGATTCCCCGAAAATAAGACCGTGACTTATACTTTTTGCCACCAAAAAAAGGCACCAGGTCTTATTTACGGGGGATGTCATCCACTGACTAACCTCACTTGCATGCGTAGCCCCCGGCCTCCTTTTCGCTGCCAGAGGCCTTCAAGAACTTCTGCTTCTGCAGTCGGCAAGGCTTTCCTGAAGGCCTGTGCAGCTGATAACAGGGCTCTGGATCAATCTGGAGCTTTGTTATCAGCTACAGAGGCCTTCAGGAAAGCCTTGCCAGCCTTGCTGGCTGCAGAGGAAATGGGCTGGCAGTACAGGTGTCAGGGTGTGTGAGACCTGGCTACAACTGTCCAAAGGTAAGTAATAGGACAGCTCCCCCCCCATCCCCACCCTAGCTTAATTTTTACCTGTGCACTCTGGAGTGGGCGGGATCTTAATCAGGGCTTATTTTGGGGGTAGGGCTTATATTGGGTGCACATGTAAAAATCAAGCTAGGACTTACTTTCAGGGTAGGGCATATTTTCTGGGAAATAGGGTAACATCCCCTCAAATATTGGAACCCTGCTCTCATGCCCCTTTCTCCAGTTTGCAGAAGCAGAATGTGCCCGCCGTGCCCTGGAACAGCTGAATGGTTTCGAACTGGCTGGCCGGCCCATGCGGGTGGGACAGGTGACCGAACGGCTGGATGGCACCACCGACATTACTTTTCCTGACGGGGCTGATGAACCTGACCGGTCATCTCTGAGCTTGGGGACCACCGGCTCCCAGCTGCAGCTGATGGCAAAACTGGCCAAAGGTGAGGTACCCCTGGTAGAAATTTGACAGTGGGGAATGGATTCTGTTATATATTTGGAAAGGCCCTATTAGCAAGGGAAATCATTACTTTCAGGATCACAGAGTCCTTGACTTACAAACTGTTTTTTGGGTGACCATTCAGAGTTAACAACGGCACTGAACAAAAGGGACTTGTGACCATTGTTCACACTTAACGACCACTACAGTGTCTCCACTGCTTGACAAATGGTTCATATGCATGACAGCCATAGGGTCCCCGGGGGGGGGGTTGTCATGTGACCATCTTTTGCAACCTTCTGACGAGCGAATCCCATTGGGAAGCCAGCTTTGCTTAACAGATGGATTACTAACTTCACAACTGCAGTGATTCACTTAGCAAATGTGGCCAGAAAGGTCATAAAATGGGGCAAAGCTCACTTAAGGACTGTCTCACTTAGCAGCAGAAATGTTGGACTCAGTTGTGGACATGGGTTGAAGACTACTTGTGTACATTAAGATACAAATTGAGCATTAGTCACATAAATTAGAGCTGGCTAGCTTTGATTTTTCTCTTGGCCTTTTCCCATGTGCCTTTGTCCAGCGGCAGTTCCTCTCAACACAAGCCCATCTCCTGTCTAAGAAAGATTGATTTTAAGATCAAGTGATCCTATAAGGAAGTGATGGCAAACCTTTTTGGCACTGAGTGCCCAAACCGGAACACGCGTGCATGTGCGTGTTTCAGAGCGCCGGAAACCTGAAGACCAGCTGGCTGGTGCGCACGTGCCTGTTTTGGGGGCCATTTTCAGGGCATTTTTGGCCTGAAAACGGCCTGAAAAACAGTCTGGAAAAGCCCCCAAAATGCTCTGTTTTGGGGGGTGTTTTGGGGGCCATTTTCTGGCGCATTTCAGTCTGGTTTTGGGTTGGTTTTGGCCTGAAAAAGGCCTGAAAACCGGCCTGTTTTTTGGCCTCTTTTCTGGCGGCCCAGCACTCATGAAGACCAGCTAGCCAGCATGCATGTGCCCGCCAAAAACCAGAGGGGGCAGCTGGCGATGGCGAATGCCCACAGAGAGGGCTCTGCGTGCCACCTCTGGCACGTGTGCTATAGGTTCGCCATTGCGGCTATAAGGTGAGCAATCCTATAAGGTTGGCAAAATGATAATAATAGTTTTATAAAGACATCTTTAGCAATAAAGAAGTAGAAGAAAGAAACGGGAGGAGAAAGAGAACAAGAATTAAGAACACTGGCCAGAGAAGAGAAAGAATTACAAGTGAGAGAAAGGGAAAATGGAAGAAGAGAAGAAACTGAAAATAAAGAGAGAAAGAAAAGAGAACTGAGAGAAGAACCAAAAGAAACCAGAATAACAAGGGGTATTAAAACTAGATACAATTAAGAAAATACAGGAAGAAATACGGATGTTGTCCTTGAACATAAATGGATTGAATTCACCTCAAAAAAGGAAAAAAAACTTTCAACAAACTTAATAAAATGAATTTGGATATAATAGGGCTCCAAGAAGTACACATAAAAGAACAGAACAAATACCTATTGAACTACCCCAAATTGAGGAATGTGTTTACATCATTAGCGCAAAATAAAACGAGGGGTAGTAATATATATCAAAAAAGCAATCTCAGCTAGGCAAATTTACAAAGATAATGAAGGCAGGATACTGATTGTAGAAACAATATTAAATAAATATGTGATGCTAGTAGAAATATACACCCTGAACAGTGGGTTAGAACAATTTTACAAGAAACTATATAACATCATTCAAGAGATAGAATGTGACAATATCTGTATTATGGGACATTTTAATCCAATTACTAACCAAAAACAAGACTACAAAAGTAACAGAAAAAAAAAAAGGGATTAGAAGAACATTACCTAAAATATTTTTTAAGATGGCAGAGGAATTGGGAATCGGAGAGAGAGGAATCAAAAGAGAAATCAGTATACATACTATTCAAACAGGTACCAGTCACAGTCCAGAATCGACATGATTTGGATGTTGATGGAATTGCAACAAGAGGTAGAGGAAGCGGAAATACTGTAAATACCAATCTATGGGGCAATCATAACCCATTAAAAATTATATGGAAGGGGAAGAAAAAGAGAGGTAGATGGACCCTGAAAAGATCAATCCTAAATTATAGTTTAAACTGAAAATGGAAGAACAATTGTGTTTGTTTTTCCAAGAAAATATAAAAGATACGAATATACAAAACCTATGGGACACTACAAAAGCATACATGAGGGGAATGGCTATAGCGTATATGGCGAAAGAAAATAAAAAGAAAAAACAAGAAAATTTAGAAGATGAATTTAGAAGATTAGAAGAAAACTTACAAAGAGAACCACAGAGAGGCAGCCTAAAACAACAAATGGAACCAGTCAAACATAAAATGAACATTCTTGAAAAAGGAGAGTTGGCACAACAAATAAAAAGGAACAATCAAAACTTCTTTGAAAATGCCAACAAAGCAGGGAGATGGCTAGCATATAAATTAAGAAAAAGGCTGGATTAGTAAAGTACAGAATGAGAAAGGAACTATGTGTTATCAAAGTGAAGAGAAAAACAAAATAGTTCAAGAGTATTTTGAAAAGCTATACGATAGTGACGAATGCCCCATAGAGGAAAAGCTAATACAATGTCTAGAGAAAGCAGAGCTGCCAAGAATCACAGAAGAAATAAAGAATATGTTAAATGCAGAAATAAAAATGTTGGAACTAATTGAAACATTGAAAAAAACAGAAGAAGAATAAAACAACAGGCCCTGACGGACTACTGGTAGAAATAAATAAAGAATTCCAGGAACCATTAGGCCAAATATTATTAGAAGTGTTTAATGCAGTTTTAAAAGAATCAAAAACACCAGCATCATGGACCAAAGCAAACATAGCATGAATACCAAAAGAAAGTGCAGATTTAACAATGGTTAAAAATTACAGACCCATATCATCATTGAATTCAGATTATAAAATATTTATGGCAATAATCACGGAAAGACTTAAAAGATTCCTAAATGAATTTATACATGTAGATCAAAATGGGTTTCTCCCAAAACGACAAATATGTAATAACATGAAAACTATATTGGACGTTTTAGAATATTATGAGGTTCACTGTGAAAAACAAGTAGCATTAATGCACAGAAAGCCTTCGATAATGTAAATTGGAATTGCATGTTAAAACAGTTGAACTATATGGATTTTGGTGAAAATTTTATTAATATAATCAGAGCTATATACAGTAAACGTGGTGATAATCATAGTAAACGGAGAAGTTACGCAAAGTTTTAAAATCAGGAAAGGCACAAGACAAGGATGTCCATTATCACCATTATTATATTATCATTGGAAGTGTTAACAAGAATTATTCAGAAAGACAAGCAAATTAGAGGGCTAAATATTAAGAAAGAAACTTATACATTACAGGCATTTGCAGATGACCTTGTATTCATTATAGAGGAACCACTGCAATCAGGCACAAGGCTTATGGAAGTACTGGAGGAGTACAGGGAAGTAGCAGGACTAAAAATAAATAAAGATAAAACTAAAATGATAACAAAAAACATGAGAAATTCACAGAAAAAAGATTTGGCTGAGAAGATAAATATTCTAATAATGAAGAAAGTGAAGAAAGTAAAATATTTGGGAATACAGCTATCAGCAAGGTATACAACAATTAAAGAAGAAAATTATATTAATTTGACCAATCAAAGAATTAGAAAGATGGGAAAATCTGCAACTCTCCTTTATGGGGGAGAATTGCAGCAATAAAAATGAATATCCTACCTAAAATACTTTTTCTTTTCCAAAATATACCAAAAAAAATAGAGAAAAAATACTTTGAAGATTTGAATAAAATAATATTGAAATTTATTTGGCAGGGGAGGAAACAGAATTAAATTAAAATTATAACAAGATGCCAAAGAAAGAGGGGGATTTGGTTTACCTGACTGGGAGCTATATTACCAAGCCACTGCATTAAATTAGGTGCAAGAGTGGATAAAATTAAAAAATAGGTGGTTACTAACATTGGAGCGTCATGACCTACAACCAGGATGGCACGCTTTATTATAGGATGAAAGACATACAGTCCACCAGTACTTCCAGAGGCATTATATAAGACATATTCTACTTAAGGTATGGATAAAAATTAAACAGCAAAATTACATAAAGACTCCGGTATGGCTCTCAACACTAGAAGCAATAGTGCATCCAAATTTCATGAATCTGGGGAAAGTCATTACATACAAAGATCTACTAGATGGAAAAGGGGAACTAAAATCCAGACACAAACTGAAAGAAGAAGGGATACAACTCGAATGGTGGGCATACCTACAATTCCAATCAAGATACAAGAAGGACAAGAAAGAATGGGACATACAGAGAGAATTGATGGCATTGGATAAGATACTATTAGGAATGGAGGGGAAAACAAGATAATATACTGTACAACTATCTACTAGAATAGAAAATGGAGGAGGAGCAAGTCAAAGAAGTAATGATAAAATGGGCTCAAAATTTCGGTTATATTGAGTTAAAACAATTGGCAAAAGTTATGGGAAAGAAATAGAAAATTAACATTGGCAACTTCATATAAAGAGAAACAATATAAAATGTTTTACATATGGCATCTTCCTCCAGCTAGATTGGACAAAATTAGTAAAAATATATCACCACATTGATGGAAATGTAACACAGAGATAGGGACCTATTATCATATGTGGTGGAAATGTATAAAAGCAAAAAAATACTGGTGGAAAATAAAGGTTTGGATAGAAGAGATGGTTAACCAGAAAGTAGAGTTCAGACCAGAAATGTTTTTACTGGGAATTATTAATAAGAAATACAGTAGAGGAACAATATATTTAATGATACATATAATAACAGCTGCAAGACTGGTGTATGCGGACTTCCGGTGGTAAGGCAAGGATGAACAGAGGTGCAGAAGCCCGTCTGTGGTTTCAGTTAATCTCTTTTTGCGGTTGGTGCAATTCTTTGAGGGTGCATGAGTC